AGAAGAATAAATTCTGGAATAGTGATTGATGGGAAGAATGTGTGGTTAAAAAGGAAGAAGAATTTTTGGGTTTATATGTAATATTATTTTATTGATAGAATGTGTGGTTGAAATGAAGAAAGAGAAAAAAATGAAAAAGAGAATGAGAAAAAAATGGATGTCTTAAAGTTTATATGATAAAATTGGATGTATACTTAAGTGACATCCCCCTCTGTGGAAGGGCGCAGCGTAGTGATGAAATTTTCAAATTTAAAATCAATGGTGCAGATTAAACCAATTGATATATTGTTAATCACGACGTCTAAAATAATGTGCATGTAGCATGATTAATATTTTTAACTAATATTTTCACCATGCAAGTGGCAATGGGCATACCACATTCTTGGTTCAACTCGTAAAACTTAAAAATCCGTCTAAAATCGACCTGTATATACGAATAATAATAATAATAATAATAATAATAAGTGACATAGTCAACATTTCAGGGATGGGGAGCATATGTTACAGGGTGCTTAATAGGCTGATAAGAAGCCCGGTTATAAGCAATTGCAACACGACGAATCCACGTTAAGACATTAAAAAGCCCAAGTTTGTCCATATTTTTGTTGGCTTATAAACCAATTGGGTAGCCCAACAAAAATACATATCCAGACAATTAGGCCCAACCTTATACATGACAATCAGGTATTTAAGTAATTAAATAATTCAAAATATTGGCAATTTCGCCTCGTTCGATGGCCATTATAATGAGAATTTGGGAGAAAATAATATTTTGAATAGTGATTTTTTAAAGAATGTATGGTTAAAAAGTAAAAAAAAAAAATTGAATTTAAGTGCAGAATATTTTATTGTATAAATGTGTTGTTGAAAATAAGTATGTGAAAAAAATAATTTCAATTTAAATAGAGTCAAATAGAGGCTTCATTTTTCATGGGAAAAATTCATTCCTCCTATTTTATCTTTACCCTATTTTAAAAATAACAAAACAATTTTAACATTTCAAAAATCAGAAATTTTGACCTATACATACACACATATATATAAATATTTATTTATACATATAAATA